CCCCCCCCCCCCCCATCCCTATAGAATACGGATCGGAGTACTATGTATTCGGTACGAAGTACTAGTATATACGGAGTACGGGTCTGTTTGAGAATAACGTTAGATATTAATGTTAGCGTTTTGAAAAAGCTATTTGCGGGCAGCGTTTAACGTTTTCAAAGTAATTTGTACCGTTAAAATTTTATCCAAAACGCTAACGCTAATCTCTAATGCTATTTCCAAACATGCCTTACATAATACTAGTGGTTAGGCTAGAACACCGACTCCCCTGCTTTCTCCATTGCTTGTCATCCATGGATGCCCTGCACCGCATCAAAAACATGTTAATACCCAAACGTATTTCATGTCCATACCCGTTCATTCATTTTCAATATATTAAGAAAGTCATAATTAATAATTATCAATTAAAGAAAACCAAAGGAAATACGTGCTCTATTAATCTAAAAACTTTTAGTCACGATTCTTTTTCCAGTATTTTTCTTACTCCCTCCATCCCATTTTATAACGCCTGTTTCGGTTTACGATGTTTGACTGAAATTATTTTCATATTATTTTATATGACAAATGGTATATAGTTAAAAAAATAAAAATTACATATTAAAATACTACATCAAAAGATCTACAAAACTAGTAGTGACAATAGTACTTTATTTTATCAAATTGCTAACGAAAATAGAGAAAAAAAGTGAATAAAATTTGACCCTGTGAATAGTAAACAGACATTATAATTTGAACGGAGAGAGTAATATTTGTGAAGTATTAAGCGTGGCCAAGAATTATGTTTTTTTAGTAGGACTATGACTTGAAATCTAAATAAAGTTAGTCAATGTCAATGCCCCAAAATTTTAAAACACGGTTGGAGAACTTATAATCAAATATGCTCATTATAGTCAAAGTCGACTTTTTTTTGTTTTGTTTTGTACGGTATTCAGTTTTGCTATCATTGACAAAGAATTTGGATCAAAATTAAAGTTCGTTTCACTAACAAACTCTCTCCAAGAAGAGTGGAAGAAGAAATTTTACTTAACATAAAAATTTTACTTAACATAAAAACAGAGAAATTTTACATAAAGAAGAAATTTTACTTAACAAAAAAATCATTTCAACTACTCCCTCCGACCCATGAAACCTTTCTCCTTTCTTTTTTTATCCGTCCCACAAAATATTTCTCATTTCTATTAAAAAATCACTTTTACCCCTTACTTTTTCATACCCTAACTATCACATCATACCTTTTTACTAAAAATCTATCCATCAAATCATACTTTTACCCATCACATCAAAGGACATTTTTGGAAATTCAATATCAAAATACACTCTCCTTAAATCCCTCCTAAAAAGCAAAAGTCTCATGTTTCATGGGACGGAGGGAGTATTATTTACAGGATTAAACTTAACTCATTTTGTTTGTTTATTTTTATTGTTTATTTCACAAAAATAATATAATCTTGTCACTTTTAGTTTTATAAAAATTCTCATGCAATTTTTTACTACTCCCTCCGTCCTATAATGATCTTCCCAGAGCACTATTCCAACTTCACGAGAATTTATATTTATTTGTGTTTTTTCATGGCCTATATGATAAAATAAAATATTCTTGTCACCACTTGTTTTGTTGAACTTTTGATGTAGTTTTTAAATATGTATGTTTTATTTTTTATTTCTATACCAATATTTAAATAAAATGGATTGAAAAAACTTGGGATTTTTTTTCGTTTTGCGAACTGGGAAGATCATTATATGACGGAGGGAGTATATATATATTTTATTTAAATTTTTTTATCTCTATAATCAAATAAATTAAATTAAAAAATAAAATTGATTATATCTCATAATGTGTAATGAGAATATCTTAGATGGGCGAAGAGTAACATGTAAGAGCATCTCCAACCACAATTGCTAAACATGGCTTGCTAAAGTCATTTTTTAGCATGTGAATAGTGGTATAGCAAGCCATTTTGCATTGTCATCTCCAACCTTTCTTTGCTATAATTTAGCTAACAATTATATTATATTGTTTTTACTATTATAATACACTCTTTATAATAATTATTCAATTATTATTTTATATTATAAAAATTTAGTAATAAGTATGTAATTTAAAAATAATAATTTCAAAAAACAATACGGAGTATTATTTTACGTACTTTAGGGAAAATAATAAAATATACGGAGTATTATTTTAAATATTTAATAAATACCAATTAAAGAGTAGAGAAAAAAAATTTACAAAAAC